CTTGCTTCTTGTATGTCTATATTCATTTCCTTTTTCATGCTTGGGAAGTTTTCTTCAATTATCTCCTTGAATAATTTCTCAGTTCCTTTGTCTCTCTCCTCACCTTCTGGAATGCCTATAACTCTTACATTTCCTGTCTTCATGGAGTCTGATAATTGTCTTAGAGTCTCCATGCACTGCTTCATTTGCACTTCTCTCTCCTTTTCTCTTTTGGCTCTTTTTATTTCTGTATCTTCGATAGTACTGACCTATTCTTCCATTTCATGGATCTGTTTTTATTGCTTTTCCCAGAGTTCTTTATCTCCTCTAGTAATCTTTTTATCTCCTGCATTTCTTTTCTTTCCCTTCTTAAGGTCTCAATTTCATTCTTCAGTTCAGTGATTATTTGTCTCAAATCATTTTTTTTTCCTTTTCATTTTCTTTCGCTTTTTAATCAGGATGATTATTAATTCTCTATCTGATAGGCCAAGAAGTTCTTCCATGTCATTGTTGAGCTCTGGTGACTGAATTTCTTTTTGTGGTGTGTCCTCCTGCTGGCTTGCTTGGTTATTTATATTTTTTCTTCTCCCTGTTGTTTGCTTTCTAATTAGTTCTATGTTTTGGGACCTTCTGCCACTGGTGTTTAGGGCATCTTTTTGGAGTGCTCCTTTAGGGGTGTCGGAAACTGTTTACCAGACTGAGACCAGCACTGCTAGGCCAAAACTCCACCAGGGTGTTGATGCTGTATTGCTGGGCTCTGTCCCTTACAGTTCCCTCCCTTTGTAGTTACTCAGTTCCAACAGGGAATCAACTAGTTGGTGATTTAGTTCTGGTCATGAGGTGGTGCCAAAGACCCGTACTTGCTGACCTGTGCTTTTTCCCAGTGGTTCTCTGAGTAGTGGAGGGGGGCAGAGGGGACCACCTCAACACAGGGGCTCTTATTCAAGCTGGGTGCTGTGTCTGCCCCGTGTTCACCTGGTGTGTGCCCACAGCTGTATGGATCCCACGCCCCAAATTCTGCGCTCTAGGTCTCAGTTCCAGGGCTATCAGATCCAAATTGCTGGCTATCACCCTGTGCAGTGCTCGCTGCTATGGCGCGTCCCATGCCCCAGTTCCTGTGCCTGGCTCTCTGTTCCAGGATGGGGTCTTGCTCCATGCCTTATTTCCCTCCTTATCCCTGTTTGCGTGGCCCACCCTCTCTCAAAGCCCAAGCGTGTTTTTGGGATCTCTGGTTTCCAACTATAGGGGGTTGGTGATTTTTTTCTGGCGGCTAGGTGGCGCCAGAGATCTTTCCCAGTGTCCTTCGGGAACTTTTTTTACCTCATGGGTTGGGGGTATAGCGTGGGGGTGGTGTGGAGCACCTTAATGGCGTTGGGGTGCTGTGTCTGCCCTGTGCCCCACCATTGTGAGGATCCCATGACCCGAATTTCATGCCCCGGGTCTCAGTTCCAAAGCCCTCAGGTCCAGGACGCAGACTATGGCCCAGTTCAGTGTCTGTAGAAATGTCACCTTTTACACCCTGCTCCCATGTCCAGGCGCCTGGTTTCTGATTACTCAGTGAGAGACATTCACCTCAATGAGGGCTCCCGATCATCTCCCCACAAGCCTAGGTCGCTGCTTTTCCGCACAAGCTTACTGACTGGACTTGGGCTATTTGTAGATCTCCTGGGAATCTTCGCTTTTCTCTAATGGCATTTGGAGCTGTTTGCTCACCTCCCCATCGATTTCTGCACGTTCTCCACAGTTCCAGTTCACAGGGTATGGCGGCTGAAATAGTTCCTTTCCACTCACAGTCCCACGTAGTTTGTTCTTGATGCGTAGTTTGTTCTTGTTGGTTGTTTTAGTTTTCTGGTTTTTTTTTCCTCCTTTCTGTTGGTCGGAGAGTGCCAACTTTGTGGGTGGGGGAGGGTAGCAGGGTTCTGAGCTTTCCTCCCTTCTAGTCCTCTTTTATGGCAACTTTCTTCTTCGGGCAGTTTGTCAGAGTCACCCGTTTATCTTCTGTGTCCCAGTTCTCACAGGGACCTGCCGCTTTTCCTCCCTATTAACTTTTTTTTTATGGGAGGTCTTACTCGCAGCGTTTCCTCGCCACCATATTGATCCGAGGTCTCCGATTTATAAGTTTCTAATTAAACTTTTTTATTATGAGGTATAGATTGCATGTAGAAAAAGTACAGAGAGATCCCATGTACCCTTAACCCATTTTCCTCAATGATAGTTTACAAAACCGTAAGAGAGTACTGCAATAGGATAATGACACTGATATAGTTAAGATACAGAGCAATTCCAACATAAGAATCCCTGCTGTTGAGTTTTTATAAACACACTCACCCCCCACTCCTTAAACCTTGGCAACCACTAAGTTGTTCTCCATTTCTTTAATTTTGACATTTCAAGAATGTTACATAAACGGCCTCATTTAATACTCTGGGTTGGTTTTCTTAAAACTGAGCATAATTCCCTGGATAGTCAATCAAACCATGGCTGAGACATGTCAAGTTACTAGCACACAGAGACAGAAGTTCAAATTTCCCACAAAGCCTTTTACACCCCAAAATGGGAGAGGCTAATTGTTATTGCTGGATAGGGGATAAGCCTTCTTTGCTTGACTCCCTTGGCCTCCATGGACACCTTCCTGGCTAGGAGAGGAAGAAAGGCCTCTTGACCGCACACCTTGAGGTTCCACTGACACCCACAGACACAGGCCAGGCTCAGGACTGCCTGACCTGGATGAGAAAACTGACTCTCAACTTGCTCTTCTCTGGCACCATTCCTCTTAGGGTTGGGGTCCTAGTAACATACACTCTGCTGAGAGAGGAGGGCTAAGTTCCCATTTGGCCTTTGCAGGCATGGGTGGGGGTAGAGTCATAGTTTTTGTTGCCTTGGGTTAAAGAAGAGTGGCTACTGCCTAAAAATTTTCTGTCTTGAAGGACTGCTTCTTTCTGGTTCTTTGCCCAGAAGAGCAGCTATCTGTTGTCGTTTTTTTGGTCTACACCCATTGATATTTGCAAGTTAAGAGTTTCTTCAGTTCCAAGTCTAGGATAGTTAAGGCAAGAAGAAAACTCAGAGACCTCACCACTGTGTCACTCCTTGGGTCCTATGGCTCCTAGCCAGTCTACCATTTCTTCTCCAACTTTCACAGCTGCCTTATGCTTGAATCATATCTAACATACAAGGTTTTTAGATGTGCTAAGTATGAGGAACAAGATTTCCCAAAAGTCTCCCTAATTATTTCTTACATTTACATCTGGAATTGGGACTACAGCCACAGGCTAAGAATGATATTTTTCCCTCGCTCAATTTTCCATAATGCTTCTGGTTAATATTACCTGTTACACCATATATTTAGGCAAAAAGAAAGATTTTATCTCTATTTTTCACAATACCTGAATTATTTTATATTCATGTACTCAATATCAGTTGAATTAAATAAATTTTTCTTTATACCCCTAAGTGCTTTTCTTTTTTTTTTTTTAAGATGCTAATATTTCGTGCTAACATTTATTTTTTTTTTTATTAGATAATAAATTTTATTGTTATATTCCCCATACAATTGCAGCCCCCCATTCTGACCCCAATCCCTCCCCTCCCGCCCCCGCCCCCCTAAAAGTGTCTCTGGTTCATAGTTTTTTGCTGATTTTGATTTTCACTTTCTTATAGTTATTCATTTTCCTGGTCCCTTATTTAAGTTTTCTAGATTCCTGCTATGAGTGAGACCATCTGGTATTTTTCTTTTTCTTTTTGGCTTATTTCACTGAGCATGATCCCTTCCAGCGCCATCCATGTTGCTGTAAATTGCATGTGTTTATCTTTTTTGAATGCTGAATAATATTCCATAGTATATATGTACCACATCTTCTTGATCCAGTCATCTATTTTTGGGCATTTGGGTTGTTTCCAAAGCTTAGCTATTGTAAACAGTGCTGCTATAAACATAGGGTATACCCCTAAGTGCTTTTCATAAAGATACTTAATTTTTCATAAAAGTACAAAAGATACAGACTAGATCCCTATATTACTTAAAATCTTTTTGGCACTGTATTTTGCTCTAAGTCAGTTTTACATATAAAAATTTTAAAAGACATTCCAGAAATGTTTCAAAATAATTTTGAAACCAAATTTCACACTTACCACTTTATTGGTACTGGCATCCACTACTAAAAAAAAAGCCAAATTTTCACACAAAATCGACTTGTATATACTCTTACCCTTCCTTAGTCATAGGTATATTAGTATAATCTGCATGAACTATAACTTATACAGTATAAATTTAAAGATTACAGGTAAGAGATTGAATATTAGTAATTGGAGTCAAAATATCTCCTTTTTTAAGCATCTTTATCATCATGATGCAAACAGCAGTATACTGAAGTCTTACAAGTCTCACTTTTTCTAACTAAGCATCCCTATCACACCTCACTATAAATGTCCAGCATTAGAAAAACAAAAGTTTTCTTCCTTCCTCTTATGATCACAATGAGTGAGGTCCTGAAGTAATTGAGCAGCACTTATACCCACGTAGTCCTTTTCTATCTCTTAAGAATCAGCCATAAAAACAAACCCCTCAATCCTAGGGCCAGGTTATGAAGGGAAAAGTGTTAAGGAAAAAATATGGTAATAAAATCACAGCAGCAGACATAGGACAATATTGTAACTGCTAAATATAAACATCTCACTTCATAATTTATTTTTTTATTATCTGAAACATCTCTCCTTTTGGTTGTGATTTATTATTTTACTGTGGTAAGAATGAGTATCTCATATTCCACATAAGAACAGATTAGAAATTCCATGCTGATATTTTTAGGTAAAAACAATTATTACTTTCTCAGTTAATAACTTAGCAAAGTTTTCAAAACATGGAATACAAAAAAAATTAAAAAGGAATAAACATGATGTTCAGATCTGGAAATTTATTCAAATGATTGAGTACAGAAAGCAAAATCACTAGATGAAAGTATAGAATCTGTTGGAAGGTATCATAATAGTTTGCAAAAACTGCTCTTGAGCATTATTGTGCCAACCTGAATTTCCTCCCAGATATCTTCATCCAACAAGGTAGCTGCTCGATGGTGCTGCAAAGGGACTATCAGGCAGTGGCCTTCAGTAAGAGAACGGAAGTTGGGTAAACACAAATAAACCTATGGGAGAAGAAATCCAAAGGTGAAATGTTTTTTGCCATTTATTCTGATCTAACAAAAAAAAGCCCCTCATAGAGACCCATGGCTAATATTAGTAAGGCACAGCTGGTTATGAGCAGTGTTTTTTACTGTAATATTTTTAAAGATATTTAATTTTTTAAAAATATTTTGAAAGCCATAAGGATAACTCTTAATAAACTGGAAATATTGAGCACAAGCCTCAATTTTAACTGTTCTACAACAAAAATTAAGTTTACCCTAGAGTAGGGCGGAATCAAGGACACTTTATCCTTGAGGAAACTATGTGCTTTGAAATAATATAATTTTTTAAAAAATAAAAAGACACACACCCTGGTAGAGAAATCTAACTTATACCTATTAATTAGGCCTTCAGTCTCTCATTAGGTAAGAAAATTAAGAGATAAAAGGCAATCACCTGTATTTTACTGCTCTGAATAAGCTTTATTTGTATACCTACATATATTACGTACAAACGGATGCTATTTTTCGATTACACACAGTCTTTTTAAAAATATAACTAGTATGCAGGTAGTGAGTAAGCATGTTTTCTTAAAGACTATAAATGGTATTCTATAAAAGAGCTTGATCTTATTTTCTATTTGGTTTGAGTTAGAAATATTTTGTGCATAAGTATTTGTTCATTTAACAAATAATGCAAACAGAAAATTTTGCTTAGAGGCCAAAGTAGGAATAGATAAGGATATTTATCTAAATTTATGGCAAAATCACAACTATACTCACAATTAAAAACATTCTCAGTACTGATTCTTTCATGTTAATAGATGTACTACACTAATGTAACACCACCAGAGAAAACTACGAGTGGGGTATAGGAAACTGTACTATCTGCTCAAGTTTTCCGTAAGTCTAAAGATGTTCTAAAAAATAACATTTTTTTTTTTTTTTTTTTAATAAGGAGTGTTAAGACAAGGAGATGTAGCGATGATTTTTATTTAAAGAAAAGGAAGGAGAAGGCAGGGATAGATGATGACCAGAAACTTACTAGACTAACTCTGCTGAGTGGCAGTAATAGGTTCATTCACACAGTTGGATTTAAGACATTGAAATACTGTCTATTATTTCCACTTTAAGGCTAAGTCCCCACAGAAACTAATAATCACATATGATTAACTCAGGTAATAACTACAATTTGCTATTGTTTATTCAGATTAGTTAAATAACCTATTAACTACAGACGATGGATACGCAGGCAGTGATTGTAGGAAGTGGATAAAATTGCTTCTAATCAATTATTTCAAATATTTCTGTATTAAAATATTCATAGATTAAAGGCTAAAGCTGGATGGTAGAGTTTAGAGCAAAGATGACATAGTAAAGGAGAAAGGAGAGCTACAAATAGTTTTAAAATGATAATAGAATGGAAATACTAGTCCAAAAGAGAAGTGACCAATGAACTCTCAGCAAGTTGAAGGCAAACAAGTGTTTAACAGAAATGACAAACAAAAAAATGTGACTTTCCCTACAGGAGAAAAATTGAGAAGAAAGGTAAAAAGGAATATATGAGTAAGAACACCTTGAAGAAAGGGAAATGTCTCTTTACTGATCAACGGTTTCTTCTGACCAGTCATGTAACAAATGCCCACTGTGGAATTTGAAATAGGAGGTTAACAAAAGGTGGGTACACATAATAACTCTGTGCTTCTCTGCACCCAACCTGTCTTCCTTGTGCACTAGGAGAAAAGAGATCATTGAAAATCCCCAAACTTCTAAGGCACTGTAGGAAGACTTAGTGCTACTTTCTGTCTGATATTCTTAACTTTATTTTTAAATGTAGGGAATGAAATACTTATATATAATGTCATAAATACAAAAATGTCTTATATAAAGGTCTGAGAAAAAATTAGAAAAATTAACACAATTAGTTTAAAAGTGGCTTTTTCCTTTAAAAATTTTTTTTTTCCATTTACCTTTTTGATAAAGCATGGAGGAAAAGAAAGAGAAGAAAAAGAAGGGTTTGGAGACAAAGTAAAAGAAATCAAAATCCAAACGGATATACTGTCTCAATGACCTCAAGACACCACTGAGGGAAAAGAGAAGCCAATGACTTTTTCTGCACACACAGGAGGGAGGAAAAAACAGGAAGCGGGGAGAGGAGAGAACACAGCAAACATATCAAATAACTATGAGTAGCCCTCAAATTATCAGTTCCTGACTGTAGCATTCATTCTGTTCAGATCCTTTCCTTCACTTTTCTTACTCAACCCACTCCACTAGCCTCTTTCTTTTCCACGTAAAGGAACAAAAAAAAGTTCATTTCCTCTTAGAGCTTTGTATTCATAGAAGCCCCTTCCTGAAACATTATTCATTCATATTTTAATTTAGTTGCTTGCTCCTTCCCATCTTTCATATCTTCACTAATATACCTCCTCACAAAATCTTTTGTATCACTTCTCCAAAAATACTTTCCTATCAATTTATCTCATTTCCTTTATTTATTTGCTTTTTAACAATTACAATTTAAAGAAATTTTAACAATTTCTTAAATCAGTGGAAATGATACAGTTCTATCCTATTTCACTAGAAAGAGGATACAAGTTCCATAAGTTTCTCTGATTCTCTGCTGTTCTCTAGTGACTAATTTGAGTTTGGCATACATCAAGCACACAGTAATTATTTATTTAAGATGGAAATCAAATTGCTGAATATTAATTCAAAGACATGGAAGCAAGTACTACAAACAAACACATGGTATACAAATGAGCTATATGTGTGGGATACAAGGGAGGCAGAAGTTATCTCTGTTCTCATGGAACTTACAGATTATAGAGGAAGAGACTTACTAAACAATAAAACAAAAAATAACACAAGTGAACTTTTTCAAATTATGAGATGGTCCATGAAAAACGAAATGAATTCTATGAGAAAGGGGAAGAAATTATATTAGATTCAGTATCTCTGAGGTGATTTTAATGCTGAGAACCAAATGCAGTCATGAAAAAGAGGTCACGCTGCGGTTGAGTGGCAGAGCCAGAATCTCAGTGTGGGGTGTCTGGTTCCAAACTCCCAGGCCTTCATCACACCCACTACAGCTGCTCTAAAAAGGAGAATCACACAAAATGTGAGGACTTCGTGTCATTTCAATATTTGGTCTCACACTATTGAAGACTGTAAAATCATGGAAACTTAGAAAACAAATATATTTGAAACACAGACTAAGCTTAGACAGATTCCTTAAGAATCTTATACAAGAATAAGAAGCAGCAAATCTACATCTATCACTAAGTCTTCTCCTTAAGGCAATAAATGTTCTATGCCTATTGTTTCCCTATTAAAAGAGTATTTTCCCTTTTAAAATGGTAGGGTTCTTACCTTAACACCTATTGCAACAATAAGGTGCTTGGGAAATTGAGAGCTGTCAAAACAATAGAGACATTTTTCCATTTGTGCAGCGAGACTCTGGTGTTCAGCAATAGCTTTTTTCCTCTGATTTGCTTCCTCTTCACCAAAATGTCCTTTCTCAGCTGCTTTGGAGATGAACATGTCATCCAGAGTATAATAGTCCCCATCTGTTTTTCCCATAAACTGAAAAATCAAAATAACAGGGGGTAGGAGGGTAAAGGTGGAGGTTAAGATTTTATTGTACTGACACATACTACCATGTCCTATTTGTAAGTTCTATGATAAAACTCTTACATTAAAAAGAGAAAAAGAAAACTTAAAATTTGAGTTTATCCCCAAGGCTCACTCTATGGTAGTCATCATCATTGATGTCGTCATTATCATCATCATCATAATCATCACAGGTAAGGTTCACTGACTAGTAAGTACTCGAAATTCTATGGAGATTTGATTGTTTTATACTCCCTGTGCGTGAGGAATCATTATAACTTCCATTTAAAAGATAAGGAACATGAACCTCTAAGAGATGAACTACTTTTATTTTAAGTTAGCATACACCCTATACAGAAAAACAAAACATTTTTCAACTCTATCTCTAGGTACCTTCCCCATGTCTCCCCCACAATAAACAGTAGTCAAGATGATACTTTTCAGACACAAGACACAATTTTATACACTTATGTCTCTGTCCATAGTAAGATGCTAACCCATGCCTGCCTAACCTTGGGCTCTGTCTAATTTCCTCATTTACAATAGTGCTAACAGTGCCATCTATCTTACAAGTGTTGTGATCAATTCGTCAGTTTGAGGAGTCTCATACATATTTCCTAGAATTCCCTTTTATTTATGTGTTTGTGTTTAGGGTGGGAACAGAAGAGATAGATTCTGATGGGAGTCTTGGGAAGGAGAAATGAATCAGAAATCAATCATTTTAGAGTTTGCATTATTGCTCATTCACCCCCTGATATAAGGCTGCAAGTGGGATGGATCTGCAACTGCTACACCATTCTCTCCAACCTCCTTCAGCTTCTCTGACTTCTGGCCCAGTTTCTTTAGCTCTGACCTCTATAGAACATCCATACCACAAGGTCAGAGGCAACAATAACTGACATGTGATAATGTCCAACCTCGAGGGCTTCAGCCCATGCTTGTGGGTTCCACCTTGTTCTCCCCATCTTTACATTCATTTTTCCTTCCCAAGTACCTGCTCTCTTGACTGAAATCTCCAACATTTGATACAGTCTTAAATAAACTACCAAGTCAGTTACCACAATTACACAAGTTCAAATCCCTATAAGAAACCATATGTGGGTCTCTATTTCTCCAACTGATACAGATTCACCCTCCTACAAAGAACAGTAATGAGCTACTTTTGTTCAGGGCCTCTGCTTGTAAAACCGTTTTTCAAGAATGTTCCAAGAATATTACTAGTTTTAATATTATTAACCACTGTTCAAAAAGAGTATATAACAGTTCATGAAATTCAGACATTTTAAATGTCAACTGTATGGCCAAAAAGTAATATTAAGTAAAACTACTCCTTTAGTGCTCCTAAATACCAGATCCAGTAACAATCCCTTAGACTAATCTGAAACTTTAGCATGCCTAACTACTTAAAATACATAATCCTTTCTAGCCCTATCCATGTTGCTGCAAATTGCATTCAGAAGCACTGTTGACAAAGGATACAAAGTCCAAAGATAAAGTTACACACCTGTCTTCTTTGGTCCTATGACCTGATTGCTGTATTATAGAAAAGTCCTAAAATTTTGCAAACGCATGAACCCATCCAGTGAACTGGCTCTTCAACACCATTAGAAAACCTGCTTTCCATGGTGGCCATATCAGATCACCATCAAACCTCACACTCTCCAGCACCTTCCCTTCTTGCTCTCAATAGATGACTTTATTTTTTTTTAATTATTTCAAATTGTATTTATGGCAGAAAAATGCCATTTTGGTGAGAAAATGTTTCCATAACATTTTCCGTAACATATTATTAAAATCTATCATTATAAATGAAGTTTTTGTAGTTTAGGTTGACAAAAAAAATAGGTGCCACTAAAATAGAAAGAAATGAGAGAAAAATATATTTGAATATAAAGATAATATGGGGCCTCCCTGGTGGTGCAGGCAGTTGAGCGCAGCGCTGTGAAGCTGTCCGCAGCCTCCGCTGGCCTCGGAGCAACCCACATGGCGTGCAGACCTCTCCTGTCTCGCCCGCTGCTCCCCTCAGCAGTGTATTTTTTTTTCTTTTTTTGGTTTTTCCATTTGTTCATTTATTTAAAAAATTATTTATTTATGCATATAAGACTTTAAAGAGAAAATCTGAAATAAGAATTTCCTCATCTTTCTACCACCAAATCCCAAATCTACAAATTGTTTTTTTAAATCTATATATAATATATATATTAATTACATCATTGTTCATTTTTGTACAGTGTATGTTTGTATGCTTTCTCCTTTCAGGTATATTCCCTGTAAATTTCCCACCAACAATTCACCCATGAACCAATACCATAGTCCCTTGTGCTCTTCTCTCCCCTGTTTTGATTCCTCTACCTTCCACTTCCTTGCAGAATGTCTCTGATTTATAGTTGCCAGATAATCATTTATTTATTTATTATTATTTCTCCCCCCCCCAATCCCTTACTTGGTTCCCCTATATTCCTCCTATAAGTGAAACTATTCAATATTTTTCTTTTTCCTTCTGGCTTATTTCACTAAGCACAATGCCGTCTAGCCTATTCATGTTGCTGCAAATGAGTTTATCTTTTTGATTGTTGAATAGTATTCCATTGTGTATACAGACCACATCTTCTTGATCCAGTCATCTATTTTTGGGCATTTGGGTTGTTTCCATATATTACCTATTGTAAATAGTGCTGCAATAAACATAGGGGAGCAGGTATACTTTGAATTATTGCCAGACCCACAAAGTGCATAGCAAATAAGTGGCTTGTATTTCCCTTCTGCTGCCAGGGATGAGCACATGCACTCCTGTTTGTGGATTCACAGCATCTTCCTCAGGTGTGCATTGGACCAACCCCTGGGTCTTCTGCTCAGATACACCACCACATTCCTCCCTCCTCTCCTTTACCATTAGTTTTTCTTTCTCTTGCCAACAATGCTGTCAAATCTGAATTTATATATTTAATTAAGCAAATGAAAGATTCCTCTATTTTAAACATTCCTTTGAAATACACATCCTTACATGTATTTGACTTCTATCACAGTCAAAGCTAAACTGCTTGGATGAATTGTTCAGAGCAAATAAGAAAGCAGTCAAGATTATATTAAACAGTGACTGATAACTGTTAATAATGTGGGAGATGTCAAACTATGACTTATGTTTAGAATACAACCATTATTACTTTATTAACTAGTAGAATAAGTCTTTCTGAACAAATGTCCAAATATTTAAGGGCTTACCATTTAAATATAAAAATATTTAATGAACACATTTTGAAAGGAAATGTTCCCAAAGAGTATTATCAACCTTTCTGCCTTTTAAAACAAAACATATGGAAATTAATTTAATTTTCTCCTGATAATACATGATAATTATTGAGAAAATTACTATAATGTTTCATAGTTCAGGAATGGCCCTCTAGAGGGCTGGTCGTTTCTATGCTAGCTCTATCAACTAAAACTTCCAAGACTTTTAGATATTGCTATAAGCATTTCTCCTTGTGGTAGTCTGTGCTCCTACCTCTAATTTGCCATTTTTATTATACTTCTGGTCTGAAACTAGATTATCAAGTACACTAGAATTACAGAAAAAAGTAGGGCTCCAGTAGCATCTTCTCCCTGTAATCAGTATATAACCTTAGAGCAAAAAATAGAGAAGCCAGCCTACAATCTACATTAGCATCAAGAGAACAGATACAAAATACCACATTTTAAAACCATGACAAATCATGGCAATGGGATTCCCGTGCTTCTATTCCTTGGCCTACCATGACATCCTAGCTCGAAGTGACTTTTTAAATCCTGTTCCTTCTACTGCCAATTGCCATTCACAGACTGCCTTGTGATGTTAAAATATTCACAATAATCTGTTATAGGAAGAAAGTAAGGAAAATGTATACATACATTTCTTAAATTAACTGAAGATTATTTAAAATCCAAAGACATGACAAGGTATCATTTTTCAAAGTGGAATTAAAACCAACTTGGTAAACACAAAGAAGAGCAAATGATTATGTAAGACAACATAATTAACTGGTTTTGGTCTTTACCTTATACACTCATATATGTGAAGTACCATATTAACTCACTCTTCAACAAATAATTAAAACCCTTGTGCTCCATAAAGAACCAGTATCATTATCACCTAGTTTACTGAAAACAATACTGATTTTATGAGATGACTAGATATATACCCATGCTTCCATTACTCATATAACTACCAAATAAGTATATAATGAAGTCAACATACTTTGATGTACAACCTACTGATCATTAAATAACCATTAAGTTTAAGCTGAGAAAAAATTCTCAAATGAAATATATCCTGCTATAGCAACTCTAAGCTGACAACTATTTTTAAAAATTGCTCTCCTGCTAAATCATGAACCAATACAACGCTACCAAGTCAGCAGCTAAACAGATACACTGAACAGATAATAATTTTAGCTATTAACAAAGCCTATTTTGGGGAAGGGGGAAGTGGAGGAGGAGGACAAAACAAGACAAGCCAATGGAATACCATTAAATCATATCAAAATTTTATAAGGTAACATAACACGTTTTTCATTTCCAGATAATATAAGTTGATTTCTTAAGTTGATTTCTGACTTGTTATCCTGTTCCTCATAAAACATATGAAAATTAAAACTAATGTATTAGAGATGCAAGTTCTTATGACACAAGAATGAGTCACTCTTTCATATGTAACTGTTTTCTTCCAGGAAGAGACACACGCACACAAATTATCATGCCCTAGGAAAAGAGAAGAAATCACTGATGTTGAATCACAGAATTAAGGAAACCTCATCTTAAACACTGAAAATGAAAGTGGCTATTTCTGATGTTATAAGAAGCCTAAAAGATTGATCTATCAATAACCAAAACTCAGGACAGTCTTTAATTCCACACTCTCTTACTTATCTAAGTAAATAAAATGTTATTTAATGTTAGCTTTAACATAGTGGCAATGATTTTTATTCGAAACACTGTTA